CACACACACACACACCAACACTCGAGGTTGGGCCCTTGCCTCTGCCACACCATTTATTTTTATACTCGTCTGGAGTATAGGTCCCAGTGTCACTGGGCCCGAGTTAAATGAACATTCCAAAATCGTCCCCCAGAACTCATTCTTGCTGGGAAAGAAGGTGCACTCACCCTTAGGCGTTCAAAGAGTTCAGCCAATTTGAGGAAGCTCCTAGGAGGCAGCAGAGAGGAGGTTAGGACAAGGGTCAGGGATCTGCCCGGTCTCAATCTCCCCTTTCCTTTCTCTCCCAAACCCCAGCAGATGCTTCTGCACCTCCCCTCTAGAGATAACCTTCCACAGTGTGACCCCTAATGGACAGACATTGTATTACAGGTATAGAGAGGGCAGGAGAGGGGACAGTCCTCACATCTTCAGCTGGTTGACTTCCTGTGTCCCCAGACTGCTGAGTGCAGATGAGATGGGAATATAATCATCTGCCAGGCCTGTTGTGAACATCCCATCAGAATCCTTCAGTCTGCCCATCGAGCCCCACTCCTGCTGATTGGGATCGTGGACAGACACCCAGGAAGAAGGACCATTGGGGAGAGGGGGCAGGGGTAGCCAGGGTCCCTGGGAAACTGCATACACTTGTGGGAGCGCATGACCCGGTCCGCGCGCAGGCAGGCATCCCTGATGTGGGCGTGGTACTCCAGCAGGAAGGTTCTTTCGTGCTCAAAGAAGTCGTCTACCTCCTAAGGGAGTCAGACAGAACCCCACTTACACCCAGGTGTGGCCGTCACAGGCACCCTCCAAACCAGTGGCTCCCATCCCACCGACAGCCTGGGCCTCAATCTTGGCTGTGAACTTGGGGGCCCAGGGGTCACCTTGAGTCCTGACATCCCAGTGATGAGAGCTTCATCTGCAGACCTCACTATGTTCCTCAGAAAGCCCCCAAGCAGCTCCTTTCTGTTCTTCCCTCGGACGCTCAACTGAGGCACATGAGGGGAGGGAATGGTGTTGGCAGGCACCCCCACAACCCCCCTAGCGTGTTCATCCAGCCTCTTCCCGACTTCCTAGTCCAAGCCTCAAATCCCTGCCCTGGGAGTGACCCCATCACTCTGGTCCAGCTCACATCCTGGCCGTATTCCAGAAAGACAAAGAAGTTGTGGTCTTGACGCAGGGTGGGGTGGGCGGCCAGGCGCTGCAGAAAGACTTCATGCATGGCAACTGTCTTCTTAAAGATCGCCAGGTACTCCCTGATGGAACAGCAGGTATCGGGTGACCCTCCTGGAATCTGATCATCCTGCACCCCCTCCCCACTTCCTTCAGCAGTTCTGGGGTCAGGGATCCCAGTAGGTCAATCCTGGGGCTCTGGGGAGTGGGTGAAGGTGGTACTCACGCTTCTAGTTCCTGCTTCATTTTGGCGAACTCTTCCCTGGTGATGGAGTTGTCCCCCTCACCCAACTTCTGCAGTTTTTCCCGAGATGCCTCAAAATCTGGCCTCGGAGGGGCTGGGGGGATCTGCTCAAAGGAGGGACAGTGTTGGGAAGCCTTTCATTACCTGAGGGGCCATCACCCACGGGAGGCTGGCCCCTACCCCATCCCTCCTCACAATGAGTCCGGCGTATTCCTCGTTGTCCACGTAGGCGTCATGCAGCCAGATGAACTCCTCGTGCTGCCGCACAACTGAAAATTCCGTCTGGGCGAAGTGAGGGAGACAGCTCTGGAAGCCGGGAAGCTTGTCAGGTTCTCTCCTCCCGATCCTGTACCCACCTATGGTACACTCTGACCGCAAACCCCAGTGAGTCTCCAGTATCCCTGATTTCAATCAGGATGTCTCATGTAAAGGCAGCAGGGGAGGCTCCCTCTCAGAAACAGGGTCCAAAGGCTATGTATGATGGAGCCTCCCTGACCCCTAAAATGGGGACCAGAGGCTGAGGGAAGTAGGCTCCTGAATCCCCCTTCACGCTACAGGTCTAGTCCCCTTCACTCCCTCCCACCCACTCACAGCCTCACCTTGGTTTGAACGGTGAATTTCACTTTGTCCCGCTCACTCACTGCATCTGAGATCTCCACCTGCAAGGTGCTGTCTGCCTGCAGATCCACGGATATGGAGGAGGGCTGCGGGACAGGGGAGGCCTTGACATGAGGACCACTGTCCCTTGCCCATCCTCCTGCAGAGTCTACCTTTGCCACATCACTACTGTGATGCCCTGGGTCATTGACTGCCCCAAAGGGAACCTGAAATGTCACTATTCGGGGATTTATAATGGCCACAACACTCCCCCCACCCTCCCGCATCCTCTGAGGCAGGCAGAACACTTCCCCCATTTTACAGATGTGGAAGCTGAGGGTGCTACCAAAGAGATGAAATAACTTATCCAAGGTCACACAGCTAGCTGCAAGGTGGCAGGGCCAGATGGGGACCCAGTTTCTTGATGCCAAACCCCATGTACTTATCATGCACTTTTCCTTAGCTACTTGCTCACCCCCTCCCCAGTTGGATGTTGTTGTTAGTCACTGAGTCAGTTCCAACCCATAGCCATCCTGTACACACAGAATGGAACACTGGTCGTGCACTGTCCCCACGTTTGTTACACTTGAATCTGCTGCTGCTGCCACCGGGCCACTCCATCTTGTTCAGGGTCTTCTGCTTTTTCACTGACCCTCCATTTTACCATGCATGATATCCTTCTCTAGGGTCTGGTCCCTCCTGATAAAATGTCCAAATTATGAGAGACTGGTCCCTCCTGAAAACATGTCTGAAGTCTCGCCATCCTGGCTTCTAAGGAGCATTCTGGCTAGACTTCTTCCAACACAGACTGGCTTGTTCTGGAAGTCCATGGAACGTTCAATGGTCTTCTCCAACACCATAATTCAAATGATTAATTTTTTCTACGGTTTTCCTTATTTATTGTCTAGCTTTGACATGCATATGAAAATACCATGGCTTGGGTAAGGCACACCTTAGTCCTTCCTCAAATGGACATCTTTGCTCTTGAACACTTTAAAGAGATCTTTTACAGCAGATTTGCCTAATGCAATATGTCCTCTGATTTCTTGGCTGCTGCTTCCATGAGTTTTGATTGTGGATCCAAGCAAAATGAAGTCTATGACAACTTCAAACTTTTCTCCATTTATCATGATGCTATTTATTGGAGGCGGCACTGGAGGCACTCATTCATCTATGCCAAGAAATTTGGTAGACAACTATCTGGCTGGCTGACTGGAAGAGATCTGTATTTGTACCCATTCCAAAGAGAGGTGACCCAACAGAATGCGGAAATCATTGGACAATATCTTTGATATCCCATGCGAGTAAAGTTTTACTAAAGGTAATACAGAAACATCTGCAAGCATACATTGACAGAGAACTTCCAGAGGTTCAAGCCAGATTCAGAAGAGGCCGTGGAATGAGGGATATCATTGCTAATGTTCGATGGATCTTGGCTGAAAGCAGAGAATACCAGAAAGATGCTTACCTGTGCTTTATTGACTACCTTCGATTGTGTGGATCATGACAAGCTATGGACAACATTGTGAAGTATGAGTATTCCAGAACACTTAATTGTGCTCATGAGGAATCAGTACATGGACCAACAGGCAGTTGTTTGAACAGAACATGGGAACACTGAATGGTTTAAAATTAAGAAAGGTGTGCGACAGGATTGTATAATTTTACCATACTTATTCAACCTGTATGCTGAGCAAATAATCCGAGAAGCTGGGTTCTATGAAGAAAAACATGGCATCAGGATTGGAGAAGACTCATTAACAACCTGCGATATGAAGATGATACAACCTTGCTTGCTGAAAGTGAAGAGGACTTAAAAGATTTACTGATGAAGATCAAAAAGCACAGCCTTCGGTATGGATTACATCTCAATATAAAGAAAACAAAAATCCTCACCAATGGACCAATAAACAACATTCTTATCAATGGAGAAAAGATCGACGTTGTCAAGGACTTCATTCTTCTTGGACCAACTATCAACACTCATGGAAGCAGCAGTCAAGAAATCAAATGACATATTGCATTAGGCAAATCTGCACAAGACCTTTTTAAAGTGTTGAAGAGCAAAGATGTCAGCTTGAGGACTAAGGTGAGCCTGACCCAAGCCATGTTATTTTCAATAACCTCATATGCATGCGAAAGCTGGACAGTGAATTAGGAAGATCATAGAAGAATTGATGTATTTGAGTTATGGTGTTGGAGGAGAATATTGAAAGTACCATGGGCTTCCAAAAGAACAAACAAATCTGTGTTGGAAGAAGTGTAGCCAGATCGCTCCTTGGAGGCCAGGATGGTCAAACTTCATGTCTCCTACTTCGGACATATTGTCAGGAGGGACCAGTCACTGGAGAAGGGTATCATTTTTGGTAAGGATATCATTTTGTTTAGAGTAAAAGACGATGACCCCCAGCGAAATGGACTGGCAAAGTGGCAGCATCAATGGGCTCAAGTGTGGCAACAATTGTGAGGTTGGCCCAGGACTGGACAGTGTTTTGTTCTGTTGTGCATAGGGTCGCTATGAGTTGGTACTGACTCAATGGCACTTAACAACAACTTATTGGTGCAATGGTGAGGATTTTTGTTTTCTTTATACTGAGGTGCAACTCATATGAAGGCTGTGGTCTTTGATCTTCACAGTATTTTAAGTTCTCTTTGTGTTCAGGAAGCAAAGTTGTATCATCTGCATATCTCAGGTTGTTAGTGAGTCTTCCTCCCATCTTCATGACTCATTTCCTCATACAATCCATTTTCTTGGGTTATTTGCTCAGGATACAGATTGAATACAGAGTGAAAGGGTACAACGCTAGCATACATCCTTCCTGATTTTAAACCATGCAGTACCCCCATGTTCTGTTTAGGTACAGTTTAGGTACACTTCCTCATGAGCCCAATGAAGTATTCTGGAATACCTATTCTCATTGTTATTCACAGCTTGTCATAATCCACATAGTCAAAAGCCTTTACATAGTCAATAAAGCACAAGTAAACATCTTTCAGCCAAGATCCATCTGACGTCAGCAATGATATCCACAGTTCCATGTCCTCTTCTAAATCTGGCTTGAATATCTGGCTGGATACCAGTGCTTAATATGAGATGGCTCAGAAGTTCCCACCTCTTTTTAGGGCTTTTGAAATCATTCCATTCATGATTTTTTAATGCTACAAGGCATGGCTTGCAGGCAAAGTAACTGCGTTTTTTAAGTGAAAAGACCCAGGAAGCACCAAGCTACTAGTTCATACTTGCATGAAGCCATTCAACAAGCATTCATTGACCTTCTAGTGTGTATGCACCTTTGTATGTTCTTCTAGGGAAAAGTGAAAAGGCTTAGAGTCACACTGCCTTCAAGCATTGCTCACCATAAACGCACTTGCTCCTTCTCTCACACCCATAGAGAGTCCTCACTCGCCCCTCTCACCAGCTTGGCATACTCGGGCCAGGACAGTCCTCAAGATGGGGCTTTTGGAGATGGAAGTCCAGAAACAGGCAAGACCTGCTAAATGACTGAACGTCTGAAGCTGTTCTGACAATTTTCTGCACCTGTCCCATCTCCTGGCTCTCGTGAAGAAATTTACCGAGACCACCGAATACAGGTTTACATCTCTCTACATTGCTTCACTTCCCCTTTTTGTTTTTTAAATTTAGGTTTAAATACAGCCAAGTGTTTACTGATGAAGATTAAAGAGCACAGCCTTCAGTATGAATTGCTCCTCAATGTAAAGAAAACAAAAATCCTCACCACTGGCCCAATAAACAACATCACAATACACGGAGAAAAGGTTGAAGTTGTCAAAGACTTCAATCTGCTTGGATCCACATTAAATATTCATGGAAACCGCAGTCAAGTAATCAGATGAAAAAAAACTAAAATGACAAATCTGCAACACCTCTTTAAAAAAGTGTTCAAGAGCAAAGATGTCAATTTGACAACTAAGATGCTCCTGATCCAAGCCATGGTATTTTAAGTTGTCTCATATATATGTGAAAGTTGGACTACGAATAAGGAGGACTGGGAAGAATTCATGCATTTGACTTACGGTACTGTCAAACAATATTGAAAGGACCATGAACTGCCCGTAGAACAAACAATTCTGTTTTGGAACAAACACAGCCAGAATCCTCCTAAGAAGTGAGGCTAGTGTGCTGGCTGCCAGGAGGCAGGCTTGCAGAATGTGCCCTTTGGTTGTTCAAATTATTATATATGCCTGAGTGTTTCTTGCCCCCCCCGCCCCC